GAACGTTGGAAGCACTGTCTGACGCGTCTGCCTCCGCGACCCGAAAGGAGAAGCGGCGATGGAAGATGGATGGAAGATGGTCTTTGTCAACATTGGTTTAAGATTATGGCAACAATTAATATTCACCCTCCATTTTAACCGTTTAAAAAAAACTGATTAAAAAAAAGGAGCATCAACAACTTAGCTTCAAATTAAATTAAATTTTAGCTCATCCACACTAGGAAGCTCAAGGTTAAGCCAGGGCTCTATCCGAGCTTGATTAAACCTTATGGGTGGAAATCAATTTTAATTCAACCCCTATAACAGTATAAGCAGCATCTCATCAAAAGAAGAATGGGCGATTAAGAAACTACTTCAGCATTAAGGCTAGGCTCACACCGAATAGGAGCCTTAGAGTATAGCCGATATCCTGGCAATGATGGTTTGATCTTAAGGCTGAAATTGAAGCAGCTGTATGGAAAACCAAAGGTCTAACCAACCTTTGTCTAGCCTTAATCTTAAAATAGATTTAACTCAGTCTAAGCATTTGTACCAGTAACTCGTGAGAAGATGAACTTAATGGCAATATTTTGGGCTAAAGTGCTTCAGAAACTTTGGTTTAACCTCAGGGAGTATAAACATGGCATCTTCGGCACTTATGAGTAGAAAGTGAGCAAAGAGGTAAAAGAGGAACAACGATTTAGCTGGAAAACCAACATTTCTCGCACATTCGCTACATGCCCTAAGATAAGACCAAGATTGAGCCGATCCACATTTTACCGCTGTACTAAATTAAAATATAACCTGAGCGTAAGCCCTCAAAAATAGATATTTATAGAGGGTGGAGACAGCGAACAACAGGTTGGCTTAAATACCCCAGGGTATGCTCACACTGTGTACTAGCATCGAAATAAAGTCAGGGACTTAGCCAACTTTAGTCCTGCTTAAGAGGTGGAATTTTGCTTTGGACTGAGACTCAGCAGTTTTATAAGCCATATCTGATTAAATGCAATTGCTAAGGATTGTATAATATGCACTAGCAGACCTAACAGCGGCAATAACTCGATTTTGGTTTCACCTTCCGGTCTGAATCCAGCCTTAAACGGGGAATGCACAATTTGATAAGCGATCACTGATCAATGAAAGAACAGGGAAATTATAAATTAACTACATTATTAATGTTTGGCTAACAGGTAGTAGGAGTACTAAAATAAGGTGCACGGTCTTAGCGAACTTCGCATGCGTTTTGTGGCTAGATTTAAAATTTAACTGAACTGAAGAAGGTTTTATACGCAATTATTCATTGAGAGGTAAAGCGGAGAAAAAGAAATTTTATAAGACGGTAGAGTTTGGCTTAGAAGCCACAGAAGCGATAACGTAATGCAATACCTATATTAAATCTTGCCTTTATCTTAGAATAGAGAACAAACCTCATCTTTAGCCAGCAATAGAAGTACGTCATCAAAACTCGAAGAGGGGAATTACAATTTAGCTAAAGCACTAATGTTTGACTGACATCCAGTAAATGAAGCAAGTTTGTGATAAATTTTTGGCCAACTTTTTTTTCCTTTGGAAACACAAGCAATGTTAAACTCAGTCTTTTTGTTTCATAAGCACGACTCATTCATAAGTGAAATGATGGAGATCAAAGTGACTTAAACAGTACTGTTCAGCTCACATGGCACACCTTGAACCTTAGATCAAGATATATTCTCAACCTCAACTGCCATTGGGGGTAACTCAGTAAAACTCGAAATGGAGAACAACAGTTTGGAACCATTATTTGTTTCAAATCTAGCAGGGATACGAAGGTAAAGCGAAGAACTTAGCCAACTCCGATTTTCTTTCCATATGACTTTTCGATGAAATTGAGGCTCTGGCGCTTTGTAGGCAATAATTAACTGAAAATGTGAAACGATGAAGAAAAATGGAATTTAAATTACAATGCTCACCTCACATGGTATAAGATTTGTGAAGTAGTGCCATGTCAAAGACAACTTGTTCGCAGCTTCAGAGTAAAATTCAAATATACGTTATTCAGCATAAGTCAGTAAAAGGTAATGGAGATGGAGAACAACGATTTTCTTAAACTTTGTGGTTTGTTCACATCCAGCAGTTGTCTAATGACAAGGTCAAAGTTCTAGCCATCTCTGGCTTTCCCATCTGCGTGACTTTTCTGTTTTATAGGCGATGATTAATTAATGTGTCAAATGATGTAAAACAGTTTAACTTAAATTGCAGTGTTCAGCACTCCGGGCATAGAACCTGGTAAGTAATGCCAAATCAGGGGGAACCTGTTCGCACATTGAACGCAAAATTAAAATTTGCTGCAGGCTCATCCGTTATTTAGAATAAGGGAATAAAACCTAATACAAAAACAACGATTTTGCGTAAAAACTATGGTCTTGATTCACGGCCAACAGTTGCCTCATGGGAAAGTCACAATCTTAGCCAAATTTGGCCTTCCATCCCGGGTAGCTTCACATCTACACTTAGCTTGTGACGATTCAGAGGCAATAGTTCATCGAGAGGTCAAACGGTGAAGAATCATGCTATTTAAA